ACGCACACTACGCATATTTCATGCATTCCCGATTAATGCATGAAATAAAAGCAATAATTTGAAAATGAATATTTACAGAAAGTAATGCTTACATCTATTTACAGTATATACATAATTATTTACAAAACGTATTTGCGAGAACCCCGTCCGAAAAGAAAAACGCAACTGCCGAACTGCATTTGATGTTATCTTTGATGACCTCACAATCGAATGTATCTTTATAATTATTCGATAGCGGTATCACGTATCACAATTTATGAATTACAATTAATCTTATGAATTACAATTAAATATCACGTATCACAATTTTCATGAATGCACGCATCACAATTTATTGCGACTTTGAAAAAGATGGCACTGAGCATGGTATTGTGCTCATTGATGTGGTCAATTTGTGAACCCCTTTCTTAAGTCTGTTATATTTCTGAAGCAGGGAGACCTAGTGATTCAGGGCACAATTTTGTTTTCTGAGTTCTGATTTTACCGAAAGATTTTTGTGAAATATTTAAAGTGATAATAAAGAGCAAAATAAGGAAAAAATTTAAATTTAATTAGCCTTTAACGGGAAACTGTCAGATGTTGTATCTATAGACTTTTGAAATCTGGAGTTAAGAAAAGATATCTTTTAAAAAGTAAGTATTAAAATACAATTGTTTAGAAACTCCTCTATCTTAAACGAAAAAGTTGGCTGCTTTGCTTATTATACCAATGGTGTAATTTCCATTGCAAATTGTACTTTATTTTATTAAGAATTACAACAAAATTGTGACATACCTATAGAGTAAAAAATGCCCTAAAAGTCAGTGTTAAACAGATAGCCAATCTCTAAAGTCAATAAAAATCACAAACAAATTTATACTTATAAGCATATAGTTGAAATGTAATTTATACAAAAAATTAAGTATTGTAAAAAGTAAATTGTATGAAAAGATTAGAAACCATTTTTCAGTCTACAATTTCCCAGTATTACCTTCTTTGATTTTTTTCTTCATATTACTGGTCATTGCTCGGTATTACTTGATCCGAATTTTTTTTTTTTAAGATTAAAGGCTATATCCCGGTATTACCTACGCTGCTTCTCCTACTCGTTAAATAGAGTATTCTTACAATAATAACCATTGAAGTGCGTTTCGACCTTAATATCCATGTAAATTCTAATTAAGGCCACCAGGTGGCGCCTTTACTAATTGATAACTATTGCTCTTAATTTCCCGCTTTGCTTTCTGCATAAACCTCATTAAAAGAATGACTGTTTGCTAACGTCCTTAATATCCAAATAAGCCCGTTGAAATGAAATTTGTGTTTTATAATGAATTTATAATGATGTATTGAATAAAGAAAATTTTTAGTTCATCTTAAACTTAATTAACATTTTAAAAAAAGTTATGAGGCTCAGTTTAAAACGAGACAAGCCAACAACGCTTTTCAGTCTCACTGCCTAAAATAAGAGAATTTTCCATTAACGCCTGAAACGGCACAATGCTTAAAACAATTCGAGAAATAAAGGATTAAGCAAGTTAGCTTTCCTTTCATTTCCATTAAGAATTATCTTAGTAAATTACATTCTTGGCTTAATATCTTGAACTAAGACGGAACATTTTAATTATGCATTCTTTGTGCATGCATTAGTGCAAGAGGAATGTGAAAAGATTGCTGCCTTGACTTTCAGACTGAACTCAACTGTCTAAGGGGTGGAGATGGGGAGGAAAAGTTCTAAATATGCTTTTGATCAACTTTACTTAGTTTTCACAAATAAATTGATGATAGATATTCACTCTAATTAGTAGTATATTATTATTTCGATACGTATAAAATGCAAGGCCTCCACCCAATCACTATTTGAGATATAGAGCATGCTGTGCTTTAGATTCTCTATTTAATTTTTCTGACAAAATTATGCCAATACAATGGGATAACTGCAAGTGACGTAGTTTGGATATCTCGATCCTGATTGGTTGTTGCAACGTTGCTTTTGTTTACGTTAGCAACTGTTCTTTCCATTTTATTTCGAGTGAACCAAGCCCGTTGAGTATAAATTCTTTTAGGTGACATATTCTAAATTCTTTCACAAAAATTCTTTCCAAGTTTCACTTCTTTCACTATATATCTACACAGGAACTTAACACAAAGACAGACAAGCATGAAGCTATGTGGAACATGAGCAAACTAATTATGCATCGAAGTTGTCAGGTACACAAAACAAAAATACATCACGGTTACAATTAAATACAAAATAAAAGAGAGAGTATGATATTTCAACTAATTCGACGTGCGATACGTCTCTGTGTTTAATTAACTTATTGTTAATTAGCATTCTAACTTATGTTGAGAAACTTGGCTCAACTTTAATACGCCATTTTGCTGATAAAGATTAGCTGACGTCATAGGTCACATGTGTGGGTATGGGAGGTCTTCTTGAAATGCAAGTCTACAATAAACAGTTTTTGATAGGTAGTTAAATTGCATAAAGTTGCCTATTTTTAGAATTTTGATAAGTGTCTCTGTTTTTATGCAGTTAACATTGAAGGAATTTTTTAACGTCATTCAAATCATTTTTCGAAAATTGGATACTTCAAGAAGAAAACCACGGATATCCACACTAGATGACCTCAGATCAAGCTGATCGTTTATAAACAAAATGGCGTGTTAAAGTTCAGCTAACTAGGGAAGTGTGACTCGCCAATTTTGAAATAAACTAGTGCGATGTATGCCTTATGAGGAACAATTTTAGGGGGAAACATTCGTTTCGGCCCATAGAAGGTCCTGTGAGAGATAAGAAATAATTCAATATGTAGAAAAATCGGTATTTTATTACTTCAATGCAGACTATTAGTTATTGTAATTGTCTCATACTCCAATTAATTTTGTGGTACTTTCACGTACTATATAATGCACATTTATTCTCAAAATTGATTTCCGAAATTTTATATATCTGTAGTTTTTCAGAAAAACCTGTTAGGTTAATTTTAAAAAAAAANGGGAGGTCTTCTTGAAATGCAAGTACCTAATTCTACAACAAACAGTTTTTGATAGGTAGTTAAATTGCATAAAGTTGCCTATTTTTAGAATTTTGATAAGTGTCTCTGTTTTTATGCAGTTAACATTGAAGGAATTTTTCAACGTCATTCAAATCATTTTTCGTCAATTGGATACTTGCACTTCTAGAAGAAAACCACGGATATCCACACTAGGTGTACTATGACCTCAGCTCAAGTTGATCGCTTATAAACAAAATGGCGTGTTAAAGTTGAGCTAAGTTTCTCCTTTCAAGTTAGAATGTTAATTAACGTGAAGTTAATTAAATACATCACACCTCGAATTTACTGAAATATAATTCTTTCTCTTCTACGTCTTTTGCTTAACTCATTTATGATTTGTTTATGTATTTTATTGTAACTGTGATATATTTTTGTATTGTGTACCTTTAAACTTCGATGCAATATTAGTTTAGGTTCTACATGGCTTCATGCCTGTAAGTTAAGAAATATATAGTGAAAGAATTGAAATATTTGTGTAAGAATATATAATGTATCATTTAAGAGAATTGATGCTCGACGATTTGGCTCTCTCGAAGTAAAAGGGAAAGAACGGTTGCTTAAGTAAACAAAAGCCACGGTTCAACAACCAATCAGGATCGAGATACGCACACTACGTCACTTGCAGGTATCACATTTTAATTTTAATAACTTATATTGACATTTGGATTGGAGAATTTTAATTTTAAAACGCAATCGTTAATTATATTAGGGAGAAAAAAAAAACCAATGGTATCTTACTCTGTGGTTAAATTCTATTTCTTCTTTAAATATAACAATTTTAAAAAACATTAGGAAATAATACTATAAGTACCTAACCTTGATGTTTGTTTTATTTATGTAATATGAAAAAAAGAGTGTTTTTTCCCCCTCTTAGGTAGGTAGCTATTTTATTTACGTCGCCCTAGAGCTGCACAATAGGCTATTAGCGACTGTCTGGGAAACATCCCCGAGGATGATCCGAAGACATGCCATCACAATTTTGATTCTCTGCAGAGGGGATAGCTCCTCCGCTTTGGTAGCCAGACGATCTGCGCTCGAAGTCGAGCACTTTAAGGTAGAACAGTTTAACGAGGACCGATACAGCGCACCTTCGACCCCTACGCATTCTGATCAAAGTGGACATCCTCCCGCTTACTGACCACAGCCAGTGATGCTTGCCTTCGGTGTTCTACTGGGAACCGTGTTTTTACGATCAGTTCACTGTGGGAATTTCCTGCTTAGAGTCGACCAAAAAACATGCATAAGGGATACAAAAATCTAGTTTTTCTTTTCTTTTTTTTTTTTAAATGAGTTGAGCTGTTTTTGAAAATTTAAAACTCTTTTTTTTTCATTCCAAAGTTGTTCTAAAAAAATACTAAAATTTTTTGTTTTGAAATTTTTATATAAATAAGTAGAATTTAAGCGTTTGTTATTGTTGTTTCTGTTGTAATACATAACATTGTTGAATTAGAATGTATGAGTGAACTTTATTTTAGTACACGTTTGGATTTCTGGCGTTCCTTTCTCCTGGTTTGACAAAGATTTGGCGAACAAAGTACCTTCCTCTTCATGTTTTCTTTGGTTTGTCAATCTTCATAATGGGTGTTGCAGCCTGTTTAATTGGTATAACAGAAAAACTAATATTTGCTTCGTAAGTATTTATATTGATTATTTACATGTTCTGTATTTTTTCAATACATTCAGATTGAGTCGCGATGGCTCAGGGGATAGCCTTCCAATAATGTGTACCGGATTCAAATCCCAGCTGTGACTGGTCGATAGGAATCCGCATCCGGCTTGCACCGACCACAATGCTGACGTGAAATATCCTCAGTGGTAGACGGATCATGGGTTGGAGTCCCTTTTCCGTCAGGCAAACCGTGGGGGTCCTAGTGGTCTCCCTCTCCATGTAACGCAAATGCAGGTTAGTTCCATCAAAATTTCTCCAATAGTTGATCTAGGAACTCCCTTATCTTATGGATTGGGTTCAAATTTACAAGACTAAGGAGTTGAACATTATTAGTCGTAAACGCAAAAATTTGGGTCAGCAGCTAAACGATGGTTATATAATAAAATGAAATCATTATCGATTTAANTTTTTTGTTATGAGTGAAATTTAGAGAAATACTGTGACTATATACTTTTTTTAAAAAAAATTTCGTCTCCCTCAAATGTTGAACACCTGCAACGCCCATGGTAATATTATTGGTACCATAGTAGTATATTAACTTTTCATTATTTAACATAGATGGATTGAATTGATTACAACACTAAATGGTTTCCTAACCTTAATCAGAGCAGTTTATACTTGATACTATACTATCTTCTGTGCTATTTTGCTCTTCATTCAATCCAATTAAATTTAGATAGCTGTATTTAGCATAATACACAAAATTCAGGACTATATTCTTATTTGGTTTTTTTTTTCTCCTTACAGGCCTGGAGGATACGGTAGCCTTCCATCAACTGCTGTTATAGGCAACCTACTAGGTTACTGCCTAATCTTATTCGCTATTTTTATTGGATACTTAGTGGTTACTCCAGAGTTTAAGAGACGTCTGCTGCCCGAAGAAGTTCAACTTCAATTAGAACAGAATCCAAACTGAAGTGCTGTCATTTATCCTTTACCTCTTAATGCAGTTTACTTATGATTTCATCCAAGTGTTGCTGAGATAATTTATTTAACATTTTGAACTGTGACCTGCTAGATATCTGATGTGTCTTGGTGTGACAAATCTGGCTTCTTTTTTTTTATGTGCAGATATTCAAATGGCATAAATTCCTGTGATATCTTCGAAGCTTGATCTGTGCGAAATTTTCAATGTTTTGAAGAAATTATGAGTTATGGTTTTGATTTAGTCAGGCACAAACATGCCAACTATTTCATTTTTTTGTGACGTTTTAGGACACTAACATTTGACCAAAGCAAAGTTGCCGTTATCCAAAACAAAACCGAAAATGCTCTTCAGTATATAATATGTAACAGATGTTGATTTTATTATTTTGTCGCATGACTAACTGGTAACCTTTCACTTGAGACTAGGTAACTGAAATTATTTGCGATCGAGAGGAATAATTTGTTTTATTTGAGATAAATTGAATGAATGTGTTTCAAGTGATAAAGGATATTTAAAATAATCTCTTGATATATCGCTAAGAAATCAAAAACGAAAATATGTAATTAGATTTAACATTTTAACTATAGCTTTTTCACCATACATGTTTGATGGTTTAAAATGAACAATGTTTATAAAACAAAGACCTTTTTGCTAAGGTATTATTAACTATATTGCCAAAAATTATTTTTTATTTTCAACCTTGTAATAATGATTTATGTGTTTTATTCAATTTTATAAAATGTGTCACAATTTCAAAAACTTTTTAAGAACTGGCATTTTTTTAATAAAGCATTTATATTTTTTTTATCATGCTTAAGATTTTTGGGTTATTGCATAGTGTGTAATGAGTCAAGTGTTATTTCTGTTAATGTTTTTTTTTTCACAGAGTTTTACATTAAATAGTATATTGTATGTTTTGCACTTGTAACCTAATACGTATGCATTCCCTGGTTTAAAATATACCATTATACATTAATATTTTTTATTATATGCTTTAAAAAATCTCATTTTTAAACCAATAAGTTCATCCTTCTTTTCGTAATTTTTAGAACAAAATATAAATGCATGTTTTCACTTTATTAATAAAATCACATGTACTAAAGAATTATTAAATTTGACTAATGACCATCTTTTTTTTCCTACGCATTTATTTATAAACTTTTGAAGAATTTGAAACAGCATGACACATCCTAGTTTCCACAGAAGATCAAATTGATGTGTGAAAGTTTCGTCATAAATGTATGGAGCTTCGTGTGCCTCGTGTTCCGCCCGCTTAATGTGAAAACAATTCAATACATTCCTTCTTTTCTCTCAACATATCTCTGTATAGTGTGGTCAAATTAGTTTTTATAAGTAGTCACTATACACATATCTCTATATACATGTAAACTTTCAACAACTCTTTACCTTGACGTTGTTGAGGGACTACGGCTTTTTAAATATAAAAAATTGCTCGTACAATACAAGTTGGTACAAAATTAATTTTACACAACACTATTAGTGTCAGCCAGAGCCCTCGTAAATGTGGGTAGAATGGCCTCAAGACATATGTACCGTAAAAAGTCGGGGAAAAGAAATCAATTTATGTTCAAGGTACTTAAAAGTCATATATATATATACTCAACTCTAATGTGAAATATTTTTTTAAGTTTAAAAATAGGGCATAACTGAAAGAATAATAATCAATTTTATACCAATGGTTATGAAAATCAAGGAAATTAAATAAGATCAGTTTAGAAAATAATTGGTCTGAATAATTTAAAAATTTATATTTTCAACTCTATCATGTGTTATTATTTTTAAGTTTAAGAATGAGGCATAACTGAAAAATTAACATTCAAATTTATACTAGGAAATATAAAAATCAGGAAAATTTATTATCAATTCTGAAAAATCAGAGAACAGTTGAGAATTTTTCGTCTAATTATTTGGGGCCATCTCGAAAGATATTTGCATTTCTTAAGCCCTAGAGAGCCGGACATCAGCGATATTCAAAAAAAGGAATATTTTTATTAATTAAGATTTTAATTTTTTAAATTCTCTTTTATGAGTATGGTTCTTGGCGACCTCGATTTATAAATTTCTTTTGACAGAAATCAAAAGCATAAATTAAAAATATAAAATATATTTGAACATTTGTAAATGAATACTCCTTACTTTCAAAATTGAAAATAATAATAGTAAAATAAATGAAAAATTAAGTTGTCTGCTTTTAGGTATAAAATTCGAGAGAAAAATAGTCGGATTTTAATAAATCCATTCCATTTTCCTCTCAACTCCCACAAAAATAAAACATTTAAAAGGCCTCGCAAATATTTTACCCAGAAACTTGATAAGTCTAACGAAGGCTCTGGTGTTTGCTAAATTAGATGTAAACTTGCGTTCAATTACTTACAAAAAAAGTGGATATTACGTATGAATTTATATTTATAATCGGCAAAACATTTAACTGTTTTAGTAATTTAAAAAATATAAAAATGAACTAAGCTTGAATTTGATAGCTTAAGCATAAAGATTTTCAAACAATCGTAATTTCTTTATTGAACGCAGCTGAGAATTTTTTACTAAAAAAACTTAATACTGAATTGATAGTTTAATTGCTCAAACAAATTACTAAATATATATTTTATTATTCAACTTAAATTATTTTTCAAATGAAGAAACATCACATTTCACGATAAAATCGTGCTTCGATTTATACTTCATCTATAAATTACCAACATACTTATTAGTAAGAAATGACCAATGTTATATAACAGAGGCAATTAATTGTATTTTATCTAAAAAAAGGTGATTTACAAATGAAACTATATTTATATGTAATTAGTAAAGTTATGTAACTAAAATTGCATTTTTTTATACTTTTACTAATTTTTTAAAAAAATTTTTACATTTATTTGTTTTTGGTTGTTCTTCATGAAATGTAAATGAGTTTATACTGGCCTCTTGAGAAGGATATGCTTTGCTGTCTGGGCAAATAGAGTTTAGCCAGTGCAAGGCGACTTGTGTTTATTCCTGTATTTTGACAATTCACTTTTTAACTATTATAAAAAAGAATTGTACTTAGTGAAAAAAATTTACGAATATATCCTGAAGTGGTTAAAAAGATACCTTGCCATTGGCATAAAGGAGCCAGCTATCACATTTAACATTTCATGTTATAAAATCTTTACCAAATACAATCAAAATGGGTCTCTGCAGATAGCAAAAAAAAAAAAATTTTAACCTCACCCATGTAATTTGCTGTTAACAACGTCAAAATTAAAAAATCCAATGTCTGTCATTGTTTCTAATATAATGACTTTCTTTGTAACTATTTTATAGAATGCGTTATTTACTGTTAATCACTGTTCTCAACTTTTTTAAACGGGAAGTAAAAATTTAAAAAAAAAATTTTTTTGAAGCAATATTAAACTAAATCTTTTTTAAGATACATTTCTTTTAAAATTAATAAGCATTTATTGTAATTGTTAGGATAAACTTATATAATTCATTGATATTTCATAATTATTCTACTAATGAACTACAAACATATTTGCTCTATAAATGTTGAGAAATTTTACTGTGCTTTTTATTGTGTCTGTAGGTTGTGTTTTGCCACTCTGTTCAAAATCACTGTTGAAAAATATCAGTGATATGTCTTTCATTCATTTTTACGTTTCAAAGGTTTGATTTTGTTTGCAATTCTGTATTATAATAAATATATATATTTCGTTGTTGCATACTTCATTTTATTACAAAATTTTATTGTATCATTTACATGAACAAAAATATTTTTTTATTAAAAATATATTTTATTTCTGAAGGAAACATTACTCGATTTTCATAAGATAATAAGCAAAACAGACTATCTAAAAGTAAAGCTTTGAGGATATATCTTGGTTTTTATATGCTTTCCTCTTATTTTCTGAATGTTTAACCAAATATTTATTTTTTTATTCAACCTGGTTTAATAATAAGAATGCATTACACACCTATTATGCAATAAGAGTTTGCTGAATAAGTTAATGAAATCTATCATTGATGCTACAAAGTTGATGAAGAAACTTTCTCTTCGTAGCTACTGTAGTTTGGAAGACTTTTCCCAATCTTATAGTACAAGGACAAAAGTACTTTTTAAGCACTATATACATTAATAAAAGGCAAAATAATTTTCAAAGGCTTTACATGATCATGATAAATAACTAGTTTCTTTCAAAGAACGTTTTCTAAATAATTTAAAAAGTCATATTACTGATAAAAAAATCACGTAACAGTATTTATTAAAAGAAATGTAATATTAATGTGTGTTCTCAGTAATTATAATGTGCTTAACCAGGCAGTAAGAATTGTCTTTATGAGAACTGAAGAAAAATATAATTTTCTAGCTTTATTTTTTCAATTGGTAATTTTACTTTTTACTAAATGTTAAGTATCGATGTAATCATTTATATAGTAATAAGCTAGTGCATAATTTTATGTCAACACGTTGTTATTCATTATCTTCCATTGTCTGGAATTTGTCATTAAACAATTGCACGCGTGTAAAATTTACACGTGCGGAAATTCAGCTTTTTTGCCATTGACCAATGTCATCCCTGCGGTTGATAGGTTAATAAAACGTTTAAAAAAGATCTAGAATAATATTATTTACATTCTTTCGAACTTTCTTTACCCCTTCCTCCTCCCTAAACTTAATTACTCATAATGGTTGAAAGGGCCTGACACGATGAATGAATACAAAATTTTGCATGAAGCTTGTTGCGAAGTGGTACGTGATAAAACTTAATAATCATTTTCAATAAGTATAAATAGTAACTTTATCGATAAAATATCACGTGATAATCTATTTTTAGAAAAAATTATATGTCTAGACATAACATTTTTTTGTTGAACAATTTATAAATACCCAACCACCTGTTTTAACCTTGATTTACATAAAATTTCTGTGTTTGGCAAATGTCCAACGTTAAAATGTTGAGTTGCATAGTTATCACCTATAAAAGGACGGGTTTGGTATGGGTTTACCATAAAATTTTATAGGGCGTAGATCTCCAATTGCCATTCAACCAAGCCCCGATCTTTCAACTCCACCGTTTTCCAAGTGCAAAGAATAATGAATTAAGCTAATTTTAACAAACTTGACTTTGCACTTTTACAGTTTTAGTGCAGAAGCACTTAAATTGCCATCATAGCTCTTTTTACTTCTTTGTACAGATACAATGGTGGTACAAAAAGTAGTACAGATGTACGGTAAGCTCTTTTTTAAATTATCATATCACTAGCGGTTCATATACCCAGTTGGTCAAACTTTTTGAGAGAATAATTTATTCTTTAATTAAATTTATTTCGACAATATTTTTTCTGTAAGGAAAATAATATTATTATTTTCTTTATATTACTCATTAAAAAAAAGAATTTTAATTAATTTATTTGCTTTATTTTATTTCGTTACTTGTTTATAAACTTATTTCATTTATTCATATATTTTATTTGCTCACATATTTTATTTGCTCACATATCTTATTTTTTCATATGCTATTATGTATTGTTTTTTCTTTAGAATTATTATTTGTGATTAATTTTGATCATTAAGTTCAATCCTATCTTTTTATAAAACATGGCTGTAGAGGTTTATGCACAGACTTAGGTAATATAAAAATCTCACTGCGAACACAAAATTTCAATAAAAAACTTTCTGCACGCATTGATTAACTCTATGTAAGTAATTTCAACCCTTTGGTAGCTATCGCATTTTGGCGAAATTTGTTTAAAAATCTCGAATTTTTTTAAAAATTTTTTAATTTTTATAGAACTCTTTATTGATTTATGCCACAGGAATGAGCTTGGTAAAAAACCAAACAAGGTAAAAATAGAAATCGAAAAATGCTATTTGCAAAAACATTTTTTAAATAATACCTGAAATTTACGCAACAAAAAAGCATGTACGAAAGATTTATCCATAAAATCTTATCAGCATTTTAATTAAAATATTGAGGGGAGGTTTTATATATTTATTTATTTAAATGGTATGAATATAAATCTCAATGTGTGATTTTTAGATCCCGCGAATAGGAGTTTTAACATATAATTTTAAAATACTGTAAATATGAATCTCAATGTATAATTATAAAATCGCATTAATACGAATCTCGATGTTTGATCTGAAATTTTCGTGAATACGAATCGCGATGTTTAATTTTAATATTCCGTGAATACGAATTTCGATGTTTGATTTTAATATCCTGTGAATACGAATCTCGATGCTTGATTTTAATATCCCGTGAATACGAATCTCGATGTTTGATTTTAATATCCTGTGAATACGAATCTCGATGTTTGATTTTAATATTCTGCGAATACGAATCTCGATGTTTGATTTTAATATCCCGTGAATACGAATCTCGATGTTTGATTTTAATATCTCGTGAATTACGAATCTCGATGTTTCATTTTAATATCCCGTGAATACGAATCTCGATGTACAATACAAGTTGGTACAAAATTAATTTTACANAATCTCGATGTTTGATTTTAATATCCCGTGAATACGAATCTCGATGTTTGATTTTAATATCCCGTGAATTACGAATCTCGATATTTGATTTTAATATCCCGTGAATACGAATCTCGATGTTTGATTTTAATATCCAGTGAATACGCTTCTAGATAGTTCATTTTAAAATTGTGTGAATACGAATTCCGGTGTATAATTTTTTAAATCTCTAGAACACGAATCTTTGAAGTGGATTTTTAACTCGCGGAAAAATAAAGCGCGATATTTGATGTAAAATCGTGATCTTAAATCGCGTAAATAAGAATGGCGATGTGCAATTTTAAATCATGTTAATGTATTTTTAAATCGCGTTTGCAATGATTTAAAAAAAAAAGCGTGATTACGAATTTTTTTTTTCTGGGTAATTCGAAAAAGACTAATTTTCTTTGAAGAGGCGGATTATTGTTTTTTTCTTTTTTAGTTGGAGTAAAAAAAAATTCCCGAACAGCGTTTGTGCATATTATGCAGATCTGTTTATACATTTGCTGGTTAATTAGTATTACATTTAGTTATGCTACTACTTGTAAAAAATGGCATGGTAATGATTTTTTGTAAGAAAATAAAAACCTTTTTCTTTCTTTAATACACATTTTAAAGATAGAATTTATTTCATTTATTAGTTTTTAAGGATTTTTCCAAATAACATTACTACATTTTTTCCTAACAGTTTGTAAATTATGTCATATGTTAACACATTTTTCGCTATAATACGCATTTAAAAAAAAAAAATTTCTTAACTAAATATTACAAAGATTTTTCCAAATAGTATTCTTAGATTTTATGTAGCATTGTTATAGTTTTTCTAAAAAAATATTAAAATAATTTTAAAATTTTTCTTAAAATACTCAATTAAGCAAAAATAGTTTATTTTTCTTACTTTTTATAGGATTTTTAAGCGAAGTACTTCAAGGACTTTTACACATAGCATCATTATATATTTTATTATTCTACTTGTTTGTAAATAAGTGGCATGCTGCTAGTTTTTTTTTTTTTAAGAAAATTAAAATTATTTTTTAATTTTTCTTTGTATTTCTTAAACTTTTTAAAAATGAAATTTATTTTATTTTATTTATTTGTGATTTTTTAAACAAAATATTACGAAATTTTTTTCCGTTGCTTCAGATTTTTTTCGAGTGTATTTAAATTATTATCATGTCAACTCGACCCTATCTTTTTGTACTGCTAAAATGTCTGTTTTGGGGCTGTACACTCTTCAAATATTAATCATGTTGTTTAATTGCCATACTCTCCTTTCGGTTGCCGCTGCTGTTTCGTTTCCCTAATTAACAACATCCCCAGTTTTTCAACGGAGTAGTCAACTGTGAAAAGTTCTTTCTTGTACTTCCAGTATACTTAATTATCATTACATTTTGGTATTCCGTTGTTGATTACTTTCGAGGTTCATTATGTTTCCAGATGTCTTGTATCACATTTTAATGGCACAACACATTGATAACCATGTGATATAACTATTATGTGATTACTATGCAACACATACAACACATTATAATTATTTATTATTTTATTTTTAGAAAAGTAAGCAATAGCTTTAATGTTTCGGTTTATCGAATGCATTGAGAAATAATATACAAATTTGTAAATATTTGTAAGGTTTTGCAATTATAATTTTGCAAATATTCTTTTGTTATGAGGCTTAATATCTCAGAAGCACCCTAAATAAGCAGCAAGTTATTAGAAAATTTGCAAAAAAGTTTCCTAATTCTAACGTCATTTAGAGAGAAAATAATGCCTTGTGCATATTTTATGGAAGACTTGGTTTCGCGACATTTTTGTCTGCATGGCGATATTTGGCAACCATTCCGGTGACAAAATGGTTAATCTGGAAAGTTGGGTACTTGCACTTCAAGAAGATCTCTTTTACCCTCTCACATGTGGCCTATGACATCAGAACCAGCTAATATTTATCAGCACCTCAAATTTGTTGGAATATAATTCTTTCTCGCTTACGTCTTTTGTTTAACTTACATTTTTTATTTGTTGATGCATTTTATTGTAACCATGATATATTTTTGTTTTGTGTCCGTAGCAGCTTGGATGCATAATTAGTTTGTTTATGTTCTACATGGCTCAGTGCCTGTCTTTGTGTTAAATTAGAATAATATGGTGAAAGAATAAATTATATCACTTAAAAGAATTGATACTTGACGGGCTTAACTTTCTTGAAATAAAATGGAAAGAACAGTTGTTAACGTAAACAAATGCCCAGTTTCAACAACCAATCAGGATCGAAATACCCACCCTACGTCACTTGCAGGTATCCCCTTTGTTTGGAAGTGATAGGAGTAATATTTACGGAGTTATGCTAGAATAGTTAAGTGTCATGTCGAAAGTTCCGGGGTTTCGTCGCCAAGCCTATATAAATAAGAATGTATCTCATGAAATAATAATAGAGAGCAGTGGCGTACNCGCCCCAAGGTAAGTGCCGCCCGGTGCGGACCGCACCCACCGCCCCCCCTTAGGTACGCCACTGATAGAGAGTCTGCTTATGACTTCAGTTGAGTTTTGATCTGAGTTAGATCATTGATTCATCGAAGGATGTGAAGCCTTTGTTTTGTTTATTTGAGCTGTAATTGAGTGCTGGAAATAGCTGTATTTTCTTGAAAATTCTGTTAATAAATTTTTGGAATCTAAAGGTCCGTTTATTCATCTCCAATCGATATGAACTCAGTACAATACTGCTCCACTGTAGATAGAGCGTTCCACAGTGACATCATAGCTGCTATTTTTTACCAAGTTCATTTCGTCCTATTGAAAGTGGAGTCTTTTAGTACAGTAATTGTCTAAAAGTGTTCCGTTGAACTCATGGGTTCCGTGGAAAATTTACTGGGTATCGAAGTTCATAATCCCAAATAGGTGATTCAGTTGTTTTGGTTCGTTAAAATGAAAGGTATTCGAGTAAATAAGAGGATATTTCCGTATCGTAATCTGCAACGCCAACTTCAATCGCCAAGGCGCCAAATTGATTTTTAAGCAAGGAAAATTTTTAAAAAAATTTTTGCCTGTGGGTGGCTCAGTTATACCTTTCAAGTTGGTCCCCTTCTCTGATTTCTAGTTTTTTTTTTTTTTTTTTNTTTTTTTTTTTTTTTTTTTTTTTTTTTTTTTTTTTTTTTTTTTTTTTTTTTGGCAGTTGCCAACACCTGACGATTATTCTGCCATAGATCAGATCACGATAAATATCTTTCCGTTAATAATATGATTAATATGGAATATAACACTTTAACATCGTGAAATTAATTTTGATATAATGGCTGAAGTTTCAGGTTTCAAGCAAAATGATTTTCATTAGTCTATCGCTCTAATAATATCGAATCGAATGTTCAGAAATTAAAAGTTTCAGTTTAATTTTAGAGGCGCTTCCAATGCCATCTGTAGATTTTGATAACAACTTCTTTCAGGCACTCCGAAATTAACCTCTTCATAGGGGTTTCGAAAGTTAGGATTTTTTTCTTTACCCGTTATGTTATTTTAAATTTGTAAATAAACATTTGTGTTTAATCAATAATTCAATATTTATCAAATTTTTGTTTATTTCAATCTGTTAGTAGAGCTCTCCGTACATTTGAATCATTTAAGTAAAATGCCAGTGGGTTCTAAAATGTTTGTCCTGTCGATTTGAGTTTAATGTCATTAACACAGCATTAAAACAATGCACGGTGCTGCAGAAAAATTGCCCACGCTGAACAACTTTTGATCTAATGATCGGAACTTCCCATTCCAGGACTCAATCTTGATGGTTCGATGAGGTGACCTCAAATATGCTAATTAATTAGCGTCGACGATATTTTAAGTTACGAAATCAGACTCAAGAACGTATTTTCTCTGAATTACCATACCCTTTTTTCAGCGGATTCGGATTTGACGCCCAAAATATAGGGGGGAGCCGCAATCTGGAAAATATGTTCCTCAAACTTTGGACACCTTTATATTATTTTCTCTTTTTATGTATTTCACTATATCTCGAAAACTTGAAACATTGAAGACATTTTACACAATTCGTTTATCTAAGGATAATTCCATACAAAAATTACATTTTAGTAAATATTTTTGGATTTTTTTTTCTTATTTTATTCAATATTTGTCCAAAAATTTTGAATTTTAAGCATACAATCTTTTACATCATTTTAAAGTATGTAATTTTACTTGGCAAATCGGTCGTTCTCGAGACATCTAATTTTTAAAATATGACTTTTTGAAATTTGACTCAAATTTTAAATATTCGCTAGTTCTTTAAAATTCGATTTCTCGGTAACTATTCGACCGATTTCGCTCAAATTTTGTCCTAATCCGTAAAAGAAGGGTATGTTATTCTGAGAAAAGTACATTTTTGTGTCTGATTTTGTAATTTAAAATATCGTCTGGAGGACTAATTAATTAGCTTATCTGAGGTCGTCCGTTTGATCCATTAAGATTGAATCCTAATACGTGAAAACTCGAACATTAGATAAGTTATTCAGAGTGGTCTGATTTTTTGTACATACTTTTTTTTTGTCTAAATAGCAATTTTAGTTTCTTTCCCCCATACCCTCTTACCCGCTCGTAGTTTTTGATCCCAAATTTCTAATATCATTTATCTTATTCTGCAAAGCAGGTACAGGGTACATATAAGAATTAAGAATTCATGTTCATTTGAATTGGTAATTTTATTTCATAATTATATGTTTTTTCCAATAATTATTGCAAAAAATTGCCTTCGTATGAGAAATAGCTGCTATATCGTTATTTACTGATTTAGTTACTGCATTTTTAGCTCTATAACTCAATCGTCTCTCCAAAAAATACGATTAATAACTGACTGATTTGTTTCGAAAGCGGTTTTCGACAATAACTGCTAGAAAACATAAAACTAAAGTAATTTAGAAGCATGAAAGTGTTGATTCAAAAGTACATGACAGGTTTGTCCATAATAAACTCCACATACGACTAACAATGGTGTGTTCAATCTTCATTCCAAGTTCTTAAACGTTTCTCAGAATCACCTTAAAATTCTAATAATTAATATTTTAGGTAAAATCTTAGAATAGCCCACCTCTTGGCGACTTTTTGAAATCTCGCCAAGTTGGCGATCATTACTGGGATCAACGTTGCTTTCTGATTGTTATGAAAAAACAATTTAAATTATTACAGATTTATTAAAATATTTTTAATAGAATAAAAAATAAATTACCTTTACTCATACTTAATTACTCATTGAAAACCACGTACCTCTCTTAACACTCCGACAAACATCATGCGCAACCACATTCAATACACGTAGACAAGATACGACATTTTCATTCAAAATCATCCACATTATCCTTTCGCTCAATCAAACTCATTTTTTCTCCTCATTTAGGGCATTCATAGGATTTTGAAATTAAATTTTGATTCATAAACCCTTCTATCATCGCTTTCTTACCTTTTGCATTCAATAAAGCTAAAAGTTCACTCAACCATTCGCTCGCCATTTTCAACCGTTACCGCAAAAAAAATAATTTTTTAAAAAAAAAGGAAATAATAACGGTAATAAATGAAATAACGGTTAAAGAATGAAATAATAACGACGATTCTAACAGCAAGATATCAGAAGCATAAGCGGCAAAAAAATAAATCCTTTCACCGCTTTTCTAACGAAATTCAACTTTCGCGTTGATATACATATCAAAATCAGGTTTAAGAATTTTGGTGGAATGATCGTGGTGTAATCAGACGTTAGAAATAATATAAAATTATCCCGAAATATCTTCCGGAAATCTAGTTTGGCGAGATTTCAAAAAATCGCCACAGGGATTCTAGGATCCACCCATATTTTATGAAGTGCAGTATGTTTTTTTTGTATAGACAATTTGTGATATCTAATCTTTTAATTTTTAGGTTCTCTAGGGAGGCGTATCGACGGCGAGAAAGGTATTAATATGGATTCGCCAATTGATGAAAATCAAAATCTTGGGTACTTCAAAGTTTGGCTGCTTATAACCCAATTATTAGGCGTCGTCAGTATCGCCCTAGTCTCATCATGGTGTGACCAGTACCTTGGCGGATTTGCCTGGCAGTCGAATCCACAGCTCCAGTTTAATCATCATCCTTTCTTCATGGTGCTCGGTTTCGTTTTCTGTTACGGAAATGGTGAGAATCCTCTTTTTCAAAAAAAATTGCATAGATACTTAAATGTCTCTGAGGTTTATTTCTTATTTTATTTTATAACCGTCGTTGAACAGCCGACCCAATTCTAAGTTACCGCCTGCCAATGTTCAACTCCGTAGCCTTGTAATTTTGAACCAAATACAGAAGACAAGAGAACTTTTGGATCAAGTATCGGGGAAAAAATTTGCCTTCGTGGAGTACATTCTGATGAAACTAACCCGCATTTGGGTTACGTGGGAAGGAATACCTCCCATGGTTATCCTGATGGCAAAAAGTATCTTACCCATAATCCGTCTACCAATGAGGTTATTTTATGTCAGCATTATGGTCGGTGTAAGCCGAGGCGGATGACGTTGACATTTAAAAAATTCTGATTATATTAACTGCTCTTTGCTAACTGTCACTATTTGGCAATCCTGTGGCGTAACTATCTCTATAAATATTTGAACACCAATTCACTAGTATATAAGACATGTTCACGTGATTCTATCTGTAGGTACCTTTTGATAGATGAAGGTTGACATGGTCGATAATTATAATTCCCCTCAATCCGATAGTCTAATTGGAAACGTCGCCGGCACTTTCTAATAAGCGTGACATCTTTAATGTGTATTGCAGTAAGCCCATGCAGTTTCAGGCTAATCGGAAAATATGTCGTTCATTGCGTAATCAACCTGATTTATTTTGAGCTAATCGACGGCGATGCATATTCAACATTATGAATTAATATATCTCAGTCAAAATTGAATTCAATTATATAATAAAGAAAATTACCTCATATTCACAAGAGCATAGTGTGGCAACTACAAAAACCAAGCACCAAACATCGATAGTCTAGAAACATAGAATAAGCATATTATTTAAAAGAGGTGCACTCTGACGTCATCACGACGTTTTTCTCTTCGCCCATTATGCCCTCTGCCGACAATAAAAGAAAATTATAGTTGATACTGCAGATTTGATTCGTTGACACGCTACTGTTTATTATTTAGTGTCTCTGTCATACTTCTCTACTGAAATAAGATAAAACAAATTACCAAACGATTACAATGAACTTCATGCAATTAAAAATGATAAAAAAGAACTATAAACTCAATCATCCAACTTGTAGTTAATTTATCTAAGCTTTGAAATAAAAAAGACTCGTCGTTTTTTAATAAAATATTAATGCGCATTGGAGTTGAAACCCTTGCCTAAAATCAAACTATTTCTTTTTCTATCTTAAGTCTTTAGAACAGTTACAATTGGGTATATTATAGCCTACGTCAGAGGTTGTGTTGTTCCTACTAAATTTAACCCATGAACGGTATTTTCTGCGAGCCTAACTTCAAGCCACAAATAAACAAACGAAGTGTTCGATCGTTTAAATAGATGCTCGCCAGATTTTATTGCATTATAAAGAAAAGTTATTGAAACTAAATACATCTAAATAAACAACAACAACTAAAACAAATAACAACAACTACTAATAACAATAACTAAATAAACAACAACTAAATTCCATTCGTTTAGCATTGCGTCATAGGTTGTTCATACTAAATCGAAGTAGTTGTGTTTTTTTCATATTATACCCAATTACGATAAAAAGTACTCAATTAAAAGCCTTTGCTTCCAGTTGTCTTGTTAAGCTTTTTTTTAGTAATTATTTTCTGCAACTTTTTATTTTAATACAATTTTCTATGTATAATATATTTATTGTATATATATTTATTGTATATATATTATTTGTTTTGTGTTTAACATAAATAAATAAATTATTGAATTTGTACCTGACTAATCGGAAAGTACCGTATATTGTTTTCTTTTTCAGGACTGCTTGTTTTTCGAGTATTTCGCTATCAGAGAAAACAGCCAGTGAAGCTTTTGCATTTTGGTCTTCATACTGTAGCTTTCATATTCACCATCGTCTCCCTCAAAGCTGTATTCGATTCGCATAATTTACCCGCCAAACCTAAACCAAACCTTTACTCTCTGCACAGTTGGCTCGGTCTGACGGCCGTTATTCTCTTTGCCATGCAAGTAAGTAAATATTGTTTCATATATTTACGGAACCCTATTAACGCATCTCCAATCGCTAGGAGAACCTAGCCCTGAGGAGAACCTGACTGAATAGTGTTTTCAATATAAATGTAAACAACAATCTCGAAATGTTAACCTGCTCTACTTCCCGTTAGAAAGCATACAGCTACTTACTACAGCTTATTCTACGATGCAATATTTTTAAATAGATAATTTTGTTTTAAATAAAAAAATATGATATCTGAGCTCAAATCTGCTGTATTTCGTGATATATTTATGATATTAAGTAATTCTGGTTGAGTTTAAAGTAAAAATTAGTTTTAGTTATTTATAGATAAATTGTCAAAAAAGGTAACATGGTTGCTAGATTGAGAAAGAATTCGCCTTTTTGGCAGTCCCGATTTGACCTCTTTTTACCTGTTTATTACTGTTTGATCTTGTTGCAGACCGTGCAACTGCATCATACATTAGTGTCAGCATATTTTTCGAGAAGCGAAGTCAAGTTCATTTTGCAAATTATCATTTAGGGTTAAATTTCGAAGCTAGTATAGTGTAGACAGGATAAGAAATGTTTTATGAAGATTTTTTTTAAAGGAGGATTTTTACGTCTTGAAATAACAGGTCTTTTTTAACAAAAATAGCAAATCAGGTAACAAATGCACGTATAAAAGAAATACTACCCAAGCGCCCATAACCAAGAGCTCGTCGCCCATAGAGCCCATTCTCGATGGTAAACTCAGCAAGACTGAACTTGGATGTCAAGTCAAAGTCATGTGAAATGCCGTTCACCAGGATTACACTCAGAACCTGTATGATTAAATGCCACGACGTGAACAGGCTGTCATCGCTCAGCGTGGCGAATACACAAAATACTGATTTCATACTTTTTCTTTTTCCTTCTTCCAAATTTGATAGCTTATTACATTATCAGTAACAATCTCATTAATTTCTGACAATTTCTTGTGTTGCAATTTTTTTAAACATTAGTGTATATTTCACCACTCAGGCTCGATAGCGACAGCAAGTGTGTGAGTGAAAATTGCCCTTAAGAGGCCTTTTCCCCCGGCATCTTGGATTTTAAGTTATGCTTTCTTGATATTTTATGTATTTTACGCTTTTAATGATGGTGTCATTTTGTGCACTATAACTTTCAAAAAGATTGAAAATACAGAGGTCATTATGTTGTTGTTGTTAATTTACGTCGCACTAGAGCTGCACAATGGGCTATTGGCGACGGTCTGGGAAACATCCCGGAGGATGATCCGAAGACATGCCATCACAATTTTGATCCTCTGCGG